TTTTATTATTGAGTATAGAGACTCAGGTGAGGAACAGAAACTACTCGAAACGAAATGGAAAGTTATTCTAGAAAAAGTACAGAATTTTAAGGAATAAAAATTAGTGATATATAAGTCATAGTGATCTCAGCAAATATTGAAACTAGTTGGTATTAGTATTTCTGCCTTGAGGCAATTTACATGAACTATTCCCCATATATGTAAATGATCGACTTAATCAATAAATTTTAAATTAAATTTTAAGTGATTAATGTATTCGATTGGATTTATTACACATATTTGGAAACGAACGAACACTTAACTCGGAGTATTTTCTAAGAGCAATTTTCAAAAATCAACAATTTTCATAATTGAACCAGTTTCTGCAGGACTTAATGGTTTAGTATGTTCATTAAGACCAGTACTCTATCGTTAAAACAAGTAAATCGTCTAATTTTAATTTTAACAAATATCAAACAAAAACTACTTATTTTCTCAAACTTTGATGAATTTTCAAAATTAAATTACTTGTCGTAAGGCCGTAATATTCCAGTAAGTTCTATAAGACCACGAAATATATCGCCAAAAAAGTTCCATAAAAATTGACTCATATATTTTTTTAAACAGTTAATTATAAGAAAACGGCTCGGTAGATATTCATCTGGAACTAATCAGTATCATTCCCAACTAATATCTTTCCAACAGTTTTTGTTTTTTTTTAATCGACTCGGTAGTATGAAATGTGGACGAAAAGTTCAACTTTTTTTTCCAAATTACAAAGAAACGGCTCGGCTGCACAAAACTGAGAAAAGGTAATCCACATCAAAATACATCAATTAGCTTTCAAAATTTTGAAATTGATGAAAGTTCTAATTTTTACAAACGCCAAAAAAAACGATACTAATATTTGCAAACTTTGAAGAATTTTTAAAATTAAACGACTTGTCGTAGGGCCGTAATATTTTAGTATGATCTATAAGACTATGGTATCTACCGTCAAGAAAAAAATCATAAAAATCGTCGAATTTTTTTTTTAACCTTTTTTACAAGAAAACAACCCGGCCGATCTTTACCAAAAACTAATTAGATCGATTCCCAACCAATATCTTTCGAACAGTTTTTGAATTTTCAAAATCAATTCAGAATTGCGGGCTAGAACGTGGACGAAAATGTTTCCACTTTTCTGCGAATTGCAAAGAAACGGCTCGACCGATCGTCGCACAAAACTAAGAAACGCTAGTCCTAAGCGAAGTGCATCGATAGCTTTTAAATTTTTGAAATCGGACCAGCCATTTTTGAGAAAAACGTCGATTTACGGCAAAAAATTTGTTCACACACACAAACTTTTTGCAAATTTGGTCTCATTCAATTCAGAACGGCTTGTGACATCGGCAAAAAATAAAATTAGGGAGTCGGATTTTTTGATGAAAATACAAACTCCTCCTTCGGGAAGTTAAAAATAGTTTCGGACAAATTTTGAATATTTCTTGACTGAAATCTAATCAATTAACTGATAACAGCAATAATTATTGATAATTTATATTAAATTAAGTATTTATCGCTTAATGATGATAAAATATTTGCTTACTGCGGGAATGAAGATAATAAACTAGATGTAACTAGCATTTAGTCTTAAGAAAAATTTTGACACAAATGCACAAGCCAATTCAGGTTTTAGGACAAAAATATCAAAAATGACTCGAAATAACTTTTACAAAAAATGTGTTCACGCACATACACACACATATACTTTTTGCAAATTTGGTCTCATTGGATTCAGAATAGCTTGAAATGTCGAGAAAACATAAAATTAGCAAATCAGATTTTTTGATAAAAATAACCTCTTCTTCGGGCTGTTAAAAAGTTTGCAAATATTCACATGACTATTATTTTTTTTAAAGATTTTTTTTCTGAAAAGGTATCAATCGGTTACGGTCTCCGTTACCCAAACGAAGAATGTCCAGAAGCAATATTTCTACTGGTGATGCAGGTGGTTGCTGGAATTGGAATCCAAGGCGCAATGGTTGGAATTATTTACGCAAAAATGATCAGGCCCTCTAAACGACTGACGGAAGTCATTTTTAGCAAAATAGCTGTGGTAAATGACTGATTTGACTAGAATATTTATACCTTTATAATGAATTTTCCTATTAGATTTGTCTATTTGATAATTATGTCTTTTGATGACGTTTAATATTTTTTTTACTATTTATAGATTTGCCAAAGGGATGGTCACCTTTGTCTGATGTTTCGCGTTTGTGATCCTAGGTACACTCATATAATTTGTTCTGATATCAAAGCATATTTATTGGAAAACAAGTTGACACCAGAAGGTAAATTCGTGATAGATAAAGATAGGTATCATCAATTATTATTAATAGCTTTTTCAATTTGTTTTTTTTATTCTTATAGGTGAAAGATTGAAATCTTATCAATCACCACTTCGACTGGAATCTGATGGTCATCTCTTGTTATTGTGGCCAGTTGCAGTGGTCCATGTGATAGATGAAGACAGTCCTTTTTATGATCTGTCGGCGAAAGATTTGCTCGAGAAAAAGTAAGTTACTATAATAATATATTGCATCCATATTTAATTCCTCTTTCTCTTAAAAAACGAGTGCAATAAGAGTAAATGGTACTGGATCACCCCAAGAACTTTGAAAATGTGACAAATAAAAATATATTTGTCTTTCAATCATTATCCCGAATATTTTTTTATTATTGTATTAGGATAATTTATTATATATTTTCAATAACCAGGTTTGAAGTAATCGTAACCTTTTCTGGAAGTTCAAGTGCCACAGGGCAATTGACACAGTCCCGAACATCCTATCTGCCAAGAGAAATTTTGTGGGGACATCGATTCCAAAACTTATTAAGGTAATAAAAGACTTTATTCAAAATTAATAAAGCACAATACTGATTAGGTTCAGTTAAAGGATGACCAAAAACTTAAAAAAAAAATTAGAACGTTGAAACTCTATCTATAAAGGTTTGACGAAGGACTCCAATGTTATGTAGCTGATTGCGAACTCCTCAACAGGACTTATGCTTTTGATACACCACTTTGTAGTGCAAAACGCTTAGATGAAGTTATGCAAGAAGTAAACGATTTTGAAGCACATTATAAATCACAGGAGTACGTCGATGTAGAACATTCAAATTCACAGGTAATTTTATCCACCAAAAACTATATTCCCAAAGTTCAACTTCTCCTATGTCTTGTTCCAGGATATAAGCAATAATACTGACAACACGGGAGGATTTTCACCTTTGGATCCTTTGATGGAAGACGAAGTTGAAGAAAATATATTCGATTATTTTGAAAATAGTATTGTAGATATAGAGAGAAGAAATTCTTCAGATTCTTATAGCTCTGATGAATTTATTATAGGTCATACCAGATATAAAGATGGTTTGAAACATACTATTGTATGATGTACAATGATCGAATTTAAATGTTATTTATTTCAAGTAAGAACTGTGTACAAAAAATTATTTATTTAAGCTATAGATTGTTTTTTCCATGTGACTAATTGAATTTCGTTAAGTAATAAAAGCAAAATTAATAAATATGGTGTTTGTTTGGTCTACCACAAGCCCAGCTTCTTTATCATCACAGGCAGCTTGATATCAGGAAGTATAAATACTAATTTTCATTTTAGAATGTTGATCTAAGTGTGTTTTTGAGTTAGAAATACATTTGATTGTATTGCTACAATATTACGACTTTACGATAAATATGACTCACAAAAATAAAGGACAACCACTGAGTTGCCTTCTAATCATAATTTCTTTCAATATGACGACTTCGCTCAAAAATCAATCTTTTTACCAAAAACCAACACCAATCTAAAACTGCAATTTTGAAAATATTTGATTGTAATGTAAACGTAAAATTTCATAAATCAAATTTTACCAGAAAAATTTTCTTATCATCTATCAAACTCTTCTTATTGACCCTAATAATACCACGTGTGCAGACACCCTAATAAAATCAGAGACCCCCTAGCGACAAATTCTGGTATTTAAATGTCAACAAGACGTTTGACGTTTCTGACAATCATATGTTACCTAACCTATTATAACCTCAATGTTTACTTTTATGCAATATATATAGATTATAATTTAAATAACATACAAAAGAAATGAGACCGGCAAATAATCAGGCTGCTCAAGAGGAAAATAATCCCTGTTTAAAAGTAGGAATAAAAAAAAATAATATTTTAAACAAAAATATATAACGGAATTTATCTTTCAGGAACATAATTTATCATTGAAATGTTTGAATGATAATAATTACAAACACGATGCCTGTGAAGCTCATTTTGAAAATTACAAGCAGTGTAAAGCATTTTGGGTTAGAACTTTGAATATTACACAAATTAGTATAATAGAACATAACTCGATTGCTTTGAAGCTTCATATTATTTATATTTAATCCTTCTTGCAATATTTTTTCAAATATTCGTTATTCAAAAAATAATTTATCTATAAATTTGATCAACAATTGAGCATGAAAATTCTTATAAATATTTAATTTGCTTTGGCTCTTAATTTCTTTGAGAAATTCTTTCCTTACAATTTAATTATACTCATAAAATAATAAAAATTTGGCTAAAGACTGAGATAAGCTAACAACATATAATTTAATAATCTTTTCCTTGCAGAATAAAATAAAATCAGAGCGAAGAAGGCAAGGTATACGTCCGACATTACCACCTTTACATATGAGGGAACAAATAAAGCAAGAATATTTTTCGCAATTTAAATGAATACAATGAATCTTGTTATAAAAGCAATAGTGTATCTCATATAATTTTTATAATCATTTAATTCAATATGAATAAAATCTTAAATTGAAAAATATTTAATGTGAATTGCAAAATTTAATATTGCTCACATATGCATATTTATATTGATAACATGAAATAATAAAAATAAAAAAAAACGATATTATGCAATAAATGATAATCAAGTTTTACTACTCACACTTTGAAAAAAAATTGAAAAAAATAATATTCTGGTATAATATAATCTTCGTCACTGCTGCTTCGTTTTATTATCCATCTCCAAAAATTAACTGCATATTTCTTGTGCCATTTAAAAGCTATCATAAGCAGGTGATTCGTATCAGCTTTGATCCAAGGGATTTACCAATGTCTACAAAAGCAGAAACGTATCTGCTGTTAAATTATTTATATATTTATTTAATTTAAAATATTTTAGTTTTTTCTATTAAATATTTAGGCAAAAATATTGGAGCTTATAATGTAAAATATAGCATTGAAATGGTTTTAATATTTAACCCCAACCTCATTTGGTGCCAAAAATTAAATCTGCATCAGGTGCTCCTTTCTGATGCTTGAATCGTCCAATGCCTTTAGCTCTATCTCTATTTGAATTATGATGTGTTGTTGTATTTTGTCTAGAATTAGCAGCTAACATTTCTTGGTAGTCTTCTTCTTCAAGTCGTTCAGTGATATTAAGTGTTAGTCTAAAATTATTTTCATAGCATATTAATCAAATACTTTGGTTATTTTTATAATTCAAGATTTATTACCGTTTAACGCGTTCCTTCTCTTCTTTTATTTCTTGTTCCTTTGATTTTAAATTAATGGCGAGTTGTGAATCTACGGGGGCACTGAAGCTTTTATATTGCTGTTTTGTGCCTTTTCGAAGCATTAAAACAAACGGCACTTCTTTACTTGTTTCGTTTGAACCCACATCCTGCAGAAAACCACAAAAATTAAATAAAACCATAATAAATAATTATAAAAATTCATTAAGGTTTAGATTTTCGCCGCACATTTATGCGATTTAAATCAGAATCTTGGCCAAGCAACTTTGTACTAATATAAATTTAATATTGCTTGATATTCACCTGTATTTGATCATAATTCTTCTTATTATTCCTTGCTATCATCGGTACAACAATATCATCACGTCGCATCTTAGCAGTATCTTTAAGCCTTTCCTGGCAATTTTCTGCCATCATCTTATCCAAAGCCTGCAAGTAAACAAAATAATAATTTTAGCAATTGAATTTATTATTATTATTTGAATTTTGATGTCCAAATGTTACTTGTTGGAAGAGTTGATCTTCTTCAGTATCTCTTGGAGTAGTATTTAATAATTTAACCTTAACATCTTCAGTGCTACTAATGCCTTCTTGTTCAGAAAATTCTTCAGTTAATTCTTCATCATCATTATTTCTGAAAAATAGCATATTTTTTATAATAGATGTTTTACCAAAATGTGTCTATGATTATTATAATAACGTACTTCAAGTCCATCTCTGAATCTTCATGAGAATTCACTACATCTCCATCAGTTTCATCAACTTCTTCCCCTTCTGTTTCTTCTTCAATAGTATTCAATGAATCGGTGACATCATTCTCATTTGACTCTTCACCTAAATTTGGATATAACATCTTTTTCAGATTATCTATAGCCTCCTGACATTCCTCAAAAGAGTTATAAATTGTAATTTTTCTTCCAATTGATTGCAAACTATCCTTATACTCATGATCAAAAAGCAAAGGGTATTTTTCTGTCTCCCAAATTGGATCATTTTTCTTAAACCAATAATAGTTCTGGAAGAAAATCAAAAAGTAATCCATGCGCTTTCTACTGAGTGAGCTTGTGAAATATTGGGCACAAGTTTCGAGTAATACACATGCTAGTTTTAATCGAAACAAACTTGCAGGTGGATCAACTTCAGAAACAATATTATAACTCATGGTGACTCCTAAGGAAATGATGGCATAAAGTGTTTTTAGAATGTCTGCTGATTCTATGAGACGATAGTTATAAAGTTCTCCAAGATATTTAGCCATAGCTATTCTGCGCTGAGCAAATTTTGGTGTATAGTTTTCCAAACTATTCCTGATATCTTCAAAAACTCCATCAACTACTTTATAAACAGCTTTTTCTTGATGTGAACTCAATCCGGCAAGTAAATCTGCTAAGCATCGAATTAAGTGATATCGAACATTGTAAGCATTAGTTAGACATTTAATAGCATAGTTTGCAATGTTTTTATCATTCCAATCAATTTTCCGGAGTAACTTGAGAATTTTATCAATATTCATTTTGCACAAGTCTTGATAAATCAAGTTCCGTATATATTGATGGATGGGCAGTCGTACTTTTTGAATTACATTGGTTGAATCTGGTGGTCTCACCAAATAATAGACACTTTCTATTTGAGCGACATGCCTAGAGTCTAAAACAGATACTGTTTTTATTCTCATTATTTGTTCTAAATAAATTAAAGTTCTTTGTCTGCTCTCCATGTGATTATACAAATATTTTCCACAGACCTCTAAAAATGCACAAGCCATTTCAATATGATGATGTTGAAAGTCTAATAACAAAATCTTTAAACAAAATAGAGCTTCCATTTTAGAATACAACTGAAATTTAACTAGTTCTCCAATATATCTAACTACTTTTATTTTAGATTCTATATTTATTTGATCCTTTTTACGAACATGGTATTTAAAGTCTTGTTTTAACATTTGAGCCAAGTCATTGCCCACATCTGCATTTACTAAACTAACGGTTGCAGCCAAACGTGCATAAAATGGTAGTAAATCAAGTCTGGTTCTAGAAACACCAAACAAATTTTTAGCTAATTTTTTGCGACCGTGTTTAGTATTTAAGTTAAGCAGAAAATCAATTGCAGCACTATCAATCATTTCTTTGTTGACACAATTACATAAGTTAGATAAGAATGCTTCTAGCATTTGTTTCGTATTTGATGGTGTGTTTTCCTCAATTTCTGTTTCAATTGTTTCTGTAATTTGAGTATCTTCATTTAATAAAAGATCAGGATTATCAGAATCTAATACCTCTGGAGATATTGTTGATATGTCTTCAGATTTCTTAAATAGAAAGGAAATATCTCGATTAATTTAATCTTATACTGTATTAGCATTTCTGGACTAAATAAAAACTATTACAAAATATTCTTACCTCCTTGGCACAATAATTTGGTAAATATTGTCTAAGATCTGGTAGATCTTCATAGAATGCCTTTGTTTCATCGTCTTCCCAGGGATCCATAGGTGAAGTTACTGCTTCCACTATACCTAAAGATTGTAAATAAATCGTAGATTAATAATTATATATATATATATATATATATATATATAATATATATATACTCTGTTGGGTACCTTCCATAACTCCACCTTCACTTTCTGGTACTATTTTCTCAACGGGTAATTCTGGCATTGGCAAATCTAACAACTCTGAAAATTGACCTGTAGCTGCAAGTAATTTTTCATATGAAGCCTAAAAATGCAAATAGTATAATAAACAGTATTTGATATAAGATTATTCATATATGCACTATAGAAAAAATACTTGTAATGCATCTGTTTTATCTTTTCTGTCTGCACTGAGTTCTCCCTTAGTTTGCAAAGTTCGTCTATTTGCTCTCTCTAGTGCTTGAAGATTAATATGTTCTGTTGTAAGATGCTTGGTAATGGAAGTATAATATTCTCTTAAAATAGTTCTAACATTATTCTGTTTTTCTGGTGGCAAAATGTTCGGTTTTGGTACTTCCATATTATATTTCTATAAAGAAAAAAAAAACTATCTATATAACTATAATCAAACATCATTAATATGAAATATTATTATTAATCAATATATATTTATTTATTTATCCCAGTAAACTTACTTCTGCTAATTGTCTTATTTTTGTTGGAACAAGACCTGCGTAATCCTCTCCGCAATGTTTACAGAAGGATAATATTGTAGCAATGTTATTATGCTCTTCCTTATCATTATTGATTAAAGTAGTCAAAACAGTTCCCAATAAAGGTAAGCAATTTTTATTCGTAAAAATTCCAGCGTTTATAAGCTCTGCATAAAGTCTTATATCAACTCTTAATTTACTAGGATTTGTTACTTTCTCATTTGGTTTTATGGTTAAATTCTTTTGCCAATTTTCAAAGAAACTTTGTGAAAATTCTGGATAATTCTGATGTAAAGTGCTACATAATTTAATAATAGCTGGAATATCAGTCATTTTGAGTTTTGCTTCCACAAGAGCTGCAGCGACTTCTGATATGTATTTTGTCAAATTTAATCCTGATAAATCTTTTAATAATGAATCTAATTGGTTTGCACTAAAGGTTTTTAATTTTTTGACAAATGTGGTATTTTTCTTTAAACTAGAATCCAGTTTTGAAAAATGAGAATCAGGAAGAACTTCGCAATTTAAGTTACCATTACGAATATCTATTTTATTCTGCAGTCGAATTTTCGTTTCTTCGATGTAATTTTTTAGAATTTCTAGATCATCAGTTTTTTCCTCAACTTCCATAGGAGTTGTTTCATCCTGTTTTAATTCCATTTTTGATCATATGATATTTTAAATAAATGTGAGAACTAGCTGTGCGATAAATAATATATTTTGTTTTACATTATTCAATAAATTCTTTGTTTCGTTCTTGATATCTTTGATAACTTTATGTTGACGTTTAACAACCTAACCTAACTTTATTGAATAAATACGTTTGACACTTGTTGACAATTGAAAACATGTTCTAAAGTATTTGACACTTGACATGACAGCTTTTACGCGCTTCATTTGAATTGTTTGTAATTTTCCAAAAACATACCCGTCCGGCCTCCGGGTGGAAAAATCCTTAACTGAATTCCAGTAGCTTTTCAAATACAATACATTTGCAAAATGCACGCCCGAACAGGGACTTGAACCCTGGACCCTTGGATTAAAAGTCCAATGCTCTACCGACTGAGCTATCCGGGCTCTGAACAGAGTCTCCGGAGCCTGAAAGATCCTACACTGCTTTCCAGTAGCTTTTCAAACACAATACATGATCCCTTAATAATATGCAAAGGGTTTGTTATAGCATGATTATAGTCATTAAAGCTATTAAAAATATATTAACCTACAATACAATACTTATTCATTTTTTATTTAAGTTTAAGGGGGTTGTTCGGTTTTTATTTTTTTTTTCGATTTTGAGATTTTTTGATATTATGAAACCCTTAGAATTATTTTAAAAAAAATCATCTCAATATCTATTTTTTTGACGAAGTGATAGATATTTATATCTCTATATGTATGATCCTCTGAAACCGTTTTTTTCATCGCTCCGCGAGCTATTGTATGCCAGCTGCTCCCTTTTTCATTATAATACGTCATGCACATGACCTTTTTAATATGCCAGCATCTTTGAACACCATGGTGTATTAGTACATTAAATTAAATGGTGTATTCCGTACATTAAATTAAATGGTGTATTTTGTACATTATATTAAAAACTTTAAATACGTTTTTCTCAAATTGACTTTTTTCAATGCGGTGCCACAAATTAAAAAAAAAAACTACAAGTCGGATGGACTTGCATTTTTTTTAATTTGTTCAGCACTGCAATACCTAATGTCCCCTTACATCAAACAACTAAATGTAATTTTTGTTTAAAAAAACCGCATGCCTCTATGATAAATACATTTCGAGAAAAACAAAAACAAATACCTTGCATTTTTTGTAACAAAAAAAGAACAACCCCCTTAAAAGTACATTGTCGTACAAAAACAAACTACATTTTGAAACTTTATATAAGGCAGTAATGTATTAATTTTATAAGTACCTTAATTGTATGTAAACATCAAAAACAAAAATTTTATGTTCAGAAGGTACTTTTTCTATTAAACTTTGCTTATAGTTTGCTTAATCCATTCTAAGTAGGAAAAAACACCAGTAAAAACATCCGGTAAGCCCACGGCACAAGGATATCCGAAGGATACCACACCTGCTAATTTGTTATTAATCACAAGAGGCCCTCCAGAATCGCCCTAATAAAAACAATATAGTCTTAATGAGGAAATTTTAATTCAGTTATATTTTACTTACCATACAGGTACCAGTTCCGCCTAATGTTTGGGTGCATATTTGAGTTTTGAATATTTTATTGAAATATAGCCAGCTCATTTCGCAATCCAAGTTGCTAATCGTAACGGTTTTCAACACCTGAATAAATACATAAATAGAAAACCAAAAACAAGATTTGCAAGATGCTAATAAATGTTATAATTACCTGCAAATCGTTTGGTGAATCCGGATCATTAACTTTCTTGAGGCCCCATCCTGTCACCTTTGCAATTTCATCATCCTGAACTTCAGTTTCGAAAAGTCTGATAGCTTTGACAGGGTGTAATAAAAATTTATCGTTAAATTTGAATTCATCCTTGATTTTTATAAGAGCTAAATCGTGCTCCATGGTTTTAGGGTCAAAATCCTGCTCTACAACTTGATCAACTTCGTAGACATATCCGCCTTCGTTTAATTTGTTAGTTCCAACCACAATAGTAAATGTAGAACTGTAGAAAGTAATAAAGTATAATGGAATTATAATTATTGGTCTGATCAAAGTATTGGTTTTCAGAATTTATATATTTTGTTCAATTTACACGTTTTGGAAGCAATGCGCAGCACTAATGACCCATTTTTCATTTAAAATAGCTCCTCCACAAAAATGTGAATTGTTTTCATCCCGAAAAGAAACTTGATAAGATGCAGAATATTTACCAGCTGGTTTACCTCCGACAATTCTTTCTGCTGAAAAAGCCACTGAAAAAAATAATATATTTTAAATTACTGATACTTATAACAGATTCTATAAAGTCCACATTTGTGTGTAAAACTTTTACAAAAAAAATCTTACAAAAGCAAAATTGTAATTTACATGTAGGTACTCGAAGAAACTTTTGGAAATAGAATTTGAAAATGGTATACCTATAAAAAATTAATTACCTGTTAAATGTAGTAATAAAAAACTCGCTAAAAACACTGCACAAAAAATCTTCCCAATAAAATTCATGGTGTGACCAAAAAATCAATTCAATCACATGTAATCAATAAATTACAAATCTTGACTTTGATTCAAAGGTGTACTGCGTGTAATTATTGAAGTTATATATAAATACAAATGTTATCTTTAAAAGTCATATGAAACACATTGAAGTAATCTCGTATTAATATTGCAATAAAACTCTTGATTTTGTATGATCTTTACTTCCAAATGATGGATTAGATTTTTAGAGATATCCAAATTTTGGGTTAAATTTTTAGAGAATAAACTTTGCATAATAAATATAACTAGTGGTGTATGGCATCGTGCCTGAAAGCAAATAGCTGGAACTTCCCGTACCGTAATGAAATATTCGAGAAATTTTAAACGTTTTCAAATATATTATTACAAATACTGTAACTTTCATTATTTTTGCTATCTTATTGTTATATCTGAGCAAATCAAATGTAAATCATAAATCAATTTATCTCCAGAACATTAACAATCGTCATTTCATTTCGAATACAATTTCAAAAAAAAAGTTGCTTAATTTACACCAAATTGAAAAAGTGCTCCCGTATGGTCACAGTCTAATTTGCAAATAATTTTGTGCGACATTTTCACTTATACTGTGCTTAGCTTGGCGGCATTTTCACATTTTTCAATAGTTTTCACAAAATTGGAAAAGTGCACCAGTTTATAAACAGTCTAAACGCACTTGGGTAAACATTTGTACGAGAGTGGCGCTTACTGTTTTTAGCCTGGGTAATTTTTTGAATTTTTAATCCAAAATTACAAAAATATTTTATGGAGAATAAAAAAAGATGTGATAATTTTTTATCCTCAAAAGCAATTATTTCTTCAATACAAGCAGAAAGTTTTTTAGATCATTCAAATCGGACGCTTAGTTCACTCAAAAACTGCCATTTTTGCACATTTAGCTCTGTATCTCCAAAACGGTTGGACCTGCCTTTGCCAAAAACTAATCACCTCTTCTCCCAATCATTATTAATTGAATGTTTTTTAGATCATTCAAATCAGATACTCCGTTCTCTCAAAAACTCGATTTGTATTTTCTGCACTCTTTGCTCCGTATCTCCGTAACGGCTGGACCTGCCTTTGACAAAAACTAATCACCTCTTCTCCCAATCAATAGAAATCGAATGTTTTGTAAACCATTCAAATAGGTTGATCCGTGCGCCCGAAAACGTGGACAAAAATATGCAAACATACAAAACGCACACACACATCCATTTTTTCTGAGGTATGCCTTCAAAATGTTCAGAAACCTTCAAAACATCGAGAAATGCAAAAATTCTCATTTTCGATTTTCGGCCCATTGCTATAACTACTCTACGGGAAGTTAAAAACACAAATTATTTTAATTTACTTAAAGTTATATTTCTGTAAAATCTAGCAAATTCTACAAAAAAATCAAATCCAAAAATGAATCATATCTGCAAGTGAGTATCAAGTATCTGATAACTTTGGTAAAGTTCAAAATCTAATTAATCTAATCAATCAACTATCGATTAGGAAATTTGAAGTACATTTTATATTCTGGAAATTTCAAGTAGTTTGATAAGGGCATCTCAAAATGTGCATTTTGATATAAAAGATGATGCAGATTCGGGAAATGCAATTGTGTTACTGAATCGTCACCATGAAGACCGCAGTAATTTTCTCAGCACTCGTTGCCTTGTCTGCAGGTAATTGTAATACAAACCCATCTGATGATAATAATTTTTTTTTGAAAATATCTAATTGGTATATTTTTTATTTTTTAGCTATTCCTCACTCCAACAGAGTCGTTGGAGGACTGGAAGCTGCAGAGGGTTCTGCACCTTATCAAGTATCCTTGCAAGTTGGCAACTTCCACTTCTGTGGTGGTTCAATTCTGAACGAATATTGGGTTTTGACTGCTGCTCACTGTTTGGGGTAAAAAGACCTTCATTTAATTTTGTAATCTATAATTTTCGGCGACCATCCACCATAACTTTAACAAATTTACTCCCCTCTAGTTATGACTTCGACGTGGTAGTTGGAACAAACAAACTTGATCAACCAGGTGAAAGATACCTCGTAGAACAAACTTTTGTTCACCAATTCGACCAGGAATCTTTAAGACACGATCTTGCTTTGGTGAAAGTGTCCAGCCCTATCGAATTCAATGATTATGTTCAACCAATTCCATTGGGCGAAACTTATGTTGGAGGCGGTGAAGTTGCTCGTCTTACTGGATGGGGAAGACTTGGAGCTAACTTGAATGGACCAAATGAACTCCAAGTAAGATAATAATAAAAAAATATAATAATCAGGAAAATTTGACATTAGAGCCTAAATATTTATATAATACTAGATGACCCGACAGACGTTGTCCTGTACCCATGCCTACAATTTTTTAATATAATATACTAATATTTACCGTTTACCTAAAAATAATAATTATTGTTTCATAAATTACTCTTCACGCCAAAATGCATATACATTTATAATATGAGCGATTTTAAATGTAGAACTGCTTTAAATAAAATGATGAGTCTCAATTCCCACACTATATGGAAAATTGAAGTCTTTTAA